AAACTTCCCTGAGCTGACATATAATGAGTATTCTTGGACAAACAGAGCAGCACAGATGTTGAATATGAATATTATATAATGTTACACGAATCTTAAATAATTGAGAACCTCCCAACGGTACAACAATATTAGCTCATCTTTAAAATAATAAGAATAATGTAAAACTGCATTTCTGTCCAAACTAGGGTCGACACAGCGTCCCGTTTGTCCAATGTACGGCTGGACAGTTACCCCAGCATCGACTTTTCCAAAATACCTACTAAAAGCATTTCCATCTGTTCCTGTTATTACTTACAGTCCTGCAAACCGGTGGTTCTCACACTACTTTAGCCATGATCCCCTCCATCTCGTCATTCCCCCGAAACACACTAAACGTTGGTACATGGAATTCACAGTGCTGACAGATTGGCTCTGAAGTGTCCACATGCTGCATCACTAATTAACAGCACTACACATGACAGCTACCAAACATTGCATCACCAGCCAAAAATAAACCAACAACGACTTTGCAAACATCTGACAACTTCTCTGCAGCTCAGTCATTCCTAACAAAGCATCATGCATATTTCCTGCATCTGTTAGTGTAGTTATCTTATAATCACATCATGTTCATGTCATCATAATCTCATAAAGTTAGGGAATGTAAGTTACCGAAGCTGGCTATTTGGCTCATTGTGCACTACTAAAAACACACGTTTTAGCTTATGATATGACATCATATCATGGAAAAGCCACTCTCAAAATCGTCATCAAATCACTAAATCACTTGTCATTAACGTGCCATTTTAATTGACTTTATAATATTTACTGAAATTACAGTCGGGCTGGAATATTTGTAAGAACAGAATAAACAAAGCAGGTTATTATTGCTTTATAGAACTGCTCCTTTATAACAATAAGCACAGCGCAAATATATTGTTATAGGCTCTTATTAACAATAAGCAGTGCAAATAAAATGTTATATTTGTTTAAGGATAGTACCAGTGTAATACCAGTTCTTGTGCTGACGGTGCTTCCAGAGAAAGTTTGGAACTCTGTATTACGCTTCCTTTCCACAATAAATAGCACCTAAAAACTGACTGGGGCAGATCTAGCAGGACAGAAACTTCACAAACTGACTTACAGCACAGACGGTTTCCTATGACAGTGCAACGTTTAAGTCACTGAGCTCTTCAGTACGACCCATCCCACTGTCAGTGTTTATCTACAGAGACTGCAAAGTTATGTACTCGATTTTATACACCTATAAGCAACGAGGTGACTGAAACACCTGAACTCAATCATTAGGAGGGGTGTCCGCATACTTGGGGTGTATAATGTACATGGTATACACATTGATACAGTAAGTTACAGTACGAGAATCTGATTCCTTAGTCGCTGTAAAGTATGAGAACTAAGATGAAGGTAAGCCTAACAGATCAAACTAAACCAGAAAGCCGTGCTGAGTGCTTCACTGACACAAACATCTGACACGTCCACCAGTGTTTTTCCAGAGTGGTTTAACACTCGTGTTTGTGACCTACAGAACGCTCTGCCCCTCAGCAAATTAAACTCAACCATGCTGTTTTTGTGTGTGTTTGTGTCTCACCTTAGGACAGTACCAGTTCCTCCAGCACTCAAATCAGGAGGCCTGATCACTGAGCTGTTGCTGTACAGAGGCACATGGCTGGGTTCTGGAAGTGCTGCTATGTATTCCTTCAGTCTGGAAACATGTTGAGAGAATATATTACATCAGTGAACCTGAAACTTTTTAAAAGGCTTTTTGAATTTGTTTGGGAGAATGTAAGTGTAGTAACGTAACACTGAATCGTATCTTTTTCTAAACTAAACCCAACCTTCTGGAAATCTCTTTTATATGAATGACTGGAGCAGTAATAATATGTTCACAGTATATAAAATTATGTATAGAATTAGGTGGCAAATTACAGTAAGAGAATCTCTGATTTCTTAATGTTTCACTCACTCATCAGGAAAATCAAGTTCCCCGTTGACATCAAATCGATTACAGAAGGGCTCTGGAGAAAGTGGTCTCTGGGTTTCTGCCCAGCTAACATGAAACAAAGAAAAACAATATGTATATTCATATGCAAAGGTTTGGGCCTGATCAAATTACATGTTTTGTTGATTTTCTAACTGAAAACAAGTTAACACATCCTCTACAGAGAACACCTGTCTGCACATTTTAATGCACAATTACTGTTTACTGGACATACTGGAAAAGAAAAAATGAATACAATGTGGCCTTTGTGAAAGCTTTATATTTTATGTTTTTCCCAATACACTGACCTGTAGAACTAAATATATATTTTCACTAAAATCTACAGAGAATTCTAATTTCAGTGTGTTCCTTATAGAAGATGTTTACTTATTTTCACTTAAATAATCAACAAAACATGGAATTTCACCAGGGATCTTCAAACTGAAACACATTAAACATAGGTATGTGGACTTCACAGTGCCAGTAGATTGGCTCTGAATTGCCCACTTACTGCATTACTAATTAGTAACACCATAAATGGCAGCTACCAAGCACTGCATTATTAAGTGCCATCAACTCCAGGCGACCATATGGACAGTGCTTCTCCAGTGTACCCTGTCTTCTGTTTCAGTCTTCTGAATGGCTGGTTCATCATTGCAACCGTCCATCTTGTAGCTATCCCTCTTCTTCCTCTTTTACCTTCAACTCTTCCAAGCATAATGGTCTTTTCCAATGAACTGGTTCTTCTCAGAAATGTGTCCAAACTAAGATTTAGTCTGGTTATCTGGGTTTCGAGACAGAGGTGAGGCTTGATTTGTTCGAGGATCTGTTTGTTTGCTTTCTTTGCCGTCCAAGGTTCTCTTAAAAGTCTTCGCCAACACCAAAGTTAAAAGGCACCTTTATTTTTGCTGTCTTGCTTGTTTATTGTCTACCTTTCATATTCATAAAGAACCACAGAGAAGACCACAGTCTGGACAATTCTGCATTTGAAGATCTTTTCGAGTTCCTTCATCCTTGTCCTGCCAAGTGTCAATCAGTCATATTTCATCAGTGCTGGAACCTTTTACTGTTAATAACTGACCAGAGTAGACAAAAACTGTCCACCCTTTCCACATCAACGGTAAGTTAACAGTCCTTCCTGTCATCATAACATTAGTGTTCTTCATACTGAGCTTCTTCCCAGTCCCATCTTTTCACTCTGTTCTTTGACCTTCCTTCCAGGGTCTTCCAGATTTTCTGCTGTGAGTGTTGTATCATCCACATTTTGAAGGTTACTGATGTTTCTTCCTCCAATCCTGAATCCTTGATCACCTTCTCCTGTCCTGCTTCTCTCATTATATATGTTCAGCATACGGGTTGAACAGCTATGGTGAAATTATGCAGCCTTGTCTCCTCCTTTGCCAATGTGAAATCAGTCTGTCCATTTTTGTCCTGACCATGGCTTGTTGATTAGTGTAGAGATACCATTAGAACAGTGAAATGCTCTGGTGTTCCCTTTTTCCTGAGGACACTGCATAAGTAAATGTGGTCAACACAACTGAAGGCTTTGCTGTAGTCAATCATGTTAACTTCCTGTTGGATTCCTTGGCTTTTTCAATGATCCAGTGTACGTCCACAGTAATGTCTCTTGTTCCTCTGCTTTTCCTGCTCACACGTGGCTTAGCAGTTCTCATTCACTGTAAGGTTCCAGTCTCCACTAAATAATCTTAAGCATAATTTCACTGGCATGTGATTGATATTAGGGACACTGTGCAATAGTTTGCACACTCTTTCTTGTTTCATTTCTTTGCTATTAGGACATAAACTGAACTCTTCCAATCGGCCGGCCATTGAGATGTTTTTCCGATTTGTTGACATAAAACAAAAAAACTGATTTTTGTTTCATCTGTTATGATCAACATAACCACAACAAGATCTGCATGCTTTTTGTTTTTGGCTTCTCTTCTCCACTGAATCATCACTCATTCAAATTGATTTCTTTCTCTTACACATTCTTCCCAGGTTTTTCTCTGATTCTTCTGTAAAAACATCCTTTGAGTTTTATAAAACATTGTTCAAGACTGAGGTTGAAGGTTTGAAAAGGGAAAAAAATGATTTATAAATCAGAAAGAAACAGTAAGTAATGCAGAATGTTTCACTAACAAACACACACACACACACACACACACACACACACACACACATACACACACACACACACACACACACACACTGTGCCACTTCTCGCGTTCATGACACAGAATGTATTATTTCCGACACCCGGTAGCATCAAATAATGGAACGAAATACAGCTGATTGTACTCAGCCTGAAGGTGTTTATGCTGTGACTGTGTCTCACCTTGGGTCAATCCCAGTTCCTCCAGTACTCAGATCAGGAGGCCTAAACATGGAGTTGTTGCTCTTCATAGACACACAGCTGGGCTCTGGAGATTCTGCTCTGGATATCTGCAGTCTGGTTATGGGAACATTATAGTAAATTATAACATCTTAAAATTGGACTTAGATCTGTAGCAATTATATTTTAGCATGTATGATTTCTCAGTTAATGAATAACAATAATAATGATAATAATAATAATAATAATAATAATAATAATAATAATAATAATTCAGACCTTTTTCCATTTCATTATAATTTACCTAACATAAAGTTTAATATTTGGTATATTTCCAAATGCAATTAAAAATTACACTGATTATTAAACTCATTACTGTGACAGGTAGTTTTTGCTTTTATTTCCTTTATTCGTGATGTCATAAATTCAATTTACAAACATGGAAAATAAATATCAAATAAAATATATTTAGTTCTACATATCAGGAATTTAATCTGCACATAAAGTTTAGTACTTCATACTGGCTAATAAAGATTTAGTTTTTACCTGTGAGAAATAAACTTTTACAAGTGACATATAATTTGCATATCTATGTAAACAGTTCAAGTCTATTGTACATTGAGATATAATATTAAAAGGTCAAACTGCTTGGAATAAAATTAATTTGAACATAATTAGATGTAATTA